CATTCTCATCAAATTATTTCACCACTGACTATTTCATGTCATCTTTATACCACTAATGAATGCACAGAAAATTGATTCTCATATTTATCCTGTGATTTACCATCATTGACCTTCTTGTAATATGAGCATGGTGTTATCTCACTACCTGGTGTCTTTAATAGTACAAAATGAAGTGAAGCCATAATCAATCAAACAAAAGCACTCACTTGATGCTTGTTACACACCTACACAGTAGTGGAAATCAGGAGGGCAGGAAAGTAGGTTATACACCTTGTTCACTGTGAGTTTAGGGTTTAGTTCAGCAAACAGCAGGAGCTCAATAGTAAGACACTGTAGTTAGTTGTGAGATTGTAACTACAGATCTAGATAATAAGGATAATAGCTTATTAATTGAGGAGAGAAAGAATATCAGGTGCAGTTTCTGTGAAGATCTTAAGAGTAGATAAAAAAAGAGTTCATTTAGACAAGGAAAATAATGTGAGCACAATCACAGAGGAAAACAGAGATAAAGCTTTCAGGAGACTGATAAAAAAGCGCAATACTCTTCTAGTTGGCAACCATGAAAGATCTATTTGGATAGGTAACATAAGGAGACTGGATTCGTTCATTGAATTTTTAACTAAATATGTATGCCCTGAGTTTCTATGGTGCTTTGTCTAGGCATCAAAAAGCAACATAGAAGTGAATACAGCAGATGTTTTGCCTAAGAAAAGAGCACAGAGCTATATGTGTGGGGGCATATAAACAAATACACTATAATGGAACTTTGGTATAGTCAGATTATAACAAGCCTTCAATGTTAGACTTTTAAAAGGCTTGAACTTGATACTGGGTGACTAAGGTATCATTAAATTTTTTTGTAAAGCACCTTAGATTCTTCCTTTATAAATTTTCTTAGGTATCTGTCGTTTTTGTTGCTGTTTGCTATTTCCTGATTTTCACTATGCCTGGACTAGTATATTAGTTTCAAAATACATGTCTTCTTCTACAGTCTGTCATATAAACTGTTGCTATGTTAATTATCCTAAAATATAATTCTTATTCAAGTGACTCTTCTGCTGCAAATATTTTTGATAGGACAGCTTGTGAACAACTCAGCTGGAAAGGATTTCAAGTCCTTTCTATATTTTAAGTCCAGAAGAATTTATCTTCCATTATTCCCCTACTCAACTCTGTTTTCTGAACAAGGTAGCTTACTTGCTGTTTTCGCAGTAATACTTTCTGTTCTATGACTTTCCAAATAAAATATTTCCACTGGGGATGTACATCTTCTTCCAATTGCCGTGCACAATATGTGGATTCCTAGTTTTCTTCAGCCTCAGCTGGAAATAATTTCTGACCTCAACATTTTTGACCACACAGTAGACACTCATAATTCCTTATATTGAAGTTGAAATCACATATCATAGCTTTTCATTACACTATTGTACATTTCCTTCCAGCTCCTTAGAGTTTTCAGAGTGGAAAGAGTGTGCAGAATACACTGACAATACCCAGAAGTAAATATATGTTAAATAAGGATATTGGGTGAATGAAGAGTAGTCAATCAAGATGGGCATTACAAGAATGTTAGTCATGAAGAAATCCATGAATGCTAGCTGGGTGATTTGGTTGCCTGTCAGGCTGATATAGCCAAGTGTTCAGGTATCTGAAAATGGAGATAAGAAATTGGGAAACTTCTGGATCCATCAGAAAGTTATTTTAGTATAAAGGCAAACTGCACTTGAAAGATGTGATGTTGTCATCTTTTGCTTGAACCAAATAAAAGGGAGTACCATCATCACAGCAGAGCTGGAACTAATAAGGTGAGGACACCAAGTATTAAAATTAAATTTATTTTGTGGATGTGTGCTTGTGCATGCATGTAGGATTGATTTTGCTCTATCTCAGGGAAAAGTTGGCATTCAAGCTGAATAATTTAATTTATAATAATGTACTCTCCATCTCTGTGTCCAACTGGACTGCATAATGAACTCTGAAATTTCCTCTTCCTCTCCATATAAAGGTAATTTCTAGTATGATGAAGTAATTAATGTAGATGAGGGGTTTTGAGAAATAGGAATAATCAAGTTTTCTACAAGGAATGCACCCTAACGCCAAGAAGATTTAGAATAATGAATCTAGTTGTTCACAATAACCATACACAATTCCAGATTTCTAATTGAATAGAATGAACAGGAAGATGACCCTGTTCTCCAAACTCCAACCTACTTATCCTCAGCAGACTTCAGAACCAAGTCTTTAGTTGCAGAAAAACTATATCTCATTTGCTTTGCAACTTGAACTGAGGCCCATCAATATGGATAAATTTGAATTCTTACTCTTACCAGCTGCATAACTTTGGGCAAATGTTGTAATCTCTCTGGGCTTTGGTTAACTTACAACTAATGGAGATAATTAATAATACTTTCTCTAAGTAGGTTGGTGAAGGATTAACAGGAAGGGTGCCTTGGCACAGTGACTAAGTTACAAGTGCTCAGAAATAATTTCTTTTCTTCTTTTCTTCTTTTCTTTTCTCTCATCTCAAAGAGGCAGAGAGAATATCTAAGTTCTAGCAAAATTGTGAATTTGCATGGTACTTTCTTCTTAGAAAATATCAGGTATGTATGTACAATATAACCTTATGTTTTTTAAGACTGAGAGAAAAAGGTTTTCCATATAATTACTGTTTTTTTTCCTACACAATGACTGAGAAATTCAGAACTAAAATGATGTCTCTTCATTGCTAGAAGCCATTTCTCTGCCCAAAGCCAAGCTTCACACATTTGTTTTCAGATAGAATTCTTCCCTAGCTAGGGATAATTAGATAATCTTACATTCAACAGATAATATTTTGGAGATAGAATTTTTGTTCTTCTGAGGTTTTTACAAAACACAGATTACCTTGATTTTCTTCATTAATTGAGTTTCCCTATGTGAGGTATACTTATAAACATAAAATAATGAATAATTCTGAAGGCTAAGCTGATATATATTCATAGCTGTTGTTAGTATAGTACCCTCTTATCCTTTGTTTTACTTTCACTGGTTTTAGTTGCCTGCCGTCTCAGTTTTTACTGATAAGCTGAGGTCTGTATATATTGCATGCAAAATTACAGAAGTAATCAATTCATAGCTTTTAAATTGTGCATCATTCTGACAAGCATGAGGAAATCTTGCACCATTCTGCTCCATTTCATCCAGGATGTAGATCATCCTTTTGTACAGTGTATTCATGCTGTGTATGCTACCTGCCTCTTAGTTACTTAGTAGCCTTCGTGATTATCAGACCCACTGTCACAGTATCTTGGTGTTTGTGTTCAAGTAACTCTTACATAGTATCCTTCTACTACCTCACAACTCCTATTGTACTTACTTCACTTTATTGCATCCTGTAGGCATTGTATCATCTCACATCATCACAGCAAGATAAAAGATGAGTATTGTATAGTAAGATATTTTAAGAGAGACCACATTCTGTTTTATTGTTATTCATTGCTGTTAATCTCTTACTGTACTTATTTATCAATTAAACTTTATTACAGGTATGTATCATAGGAAAAACATCACTTTATAGAGCTTGGTACTTTTAGGGATCCAGTGGGGGTCCCTGGACATTTCCCCAGCAAATAAGGGGAACTTACTATATTTTAAAAATGTTTTGCAGTTTTAATTCCACAGTTTCTATCCTGAGTTTTTTGAGTGTCAAGATTTTGTGGCTATTAAATATCATATTTAGTCACAGTTTCCAGGGATAGTAATAGACATCATCAAAGAAACATTAGATCATCTTAAAGCAGTTTAAAACACACACACACACACACACACACACACACACACACACATGTAGTCAGTTTTAGAAAACAGCAAGCTCCTTCCAAAGGCATGTTTTTCATTTCTAGAATATATTAAAAAAAACTTATTATAGTAAGATATTCATAATTAAAAAAGAACATTTACTGAAAATAATTCAAATGACCCTGAATGCCACTGTTCAGAAAAACCTATCAAAATAAAAACTAACTATGAGGGATGCTACCTTTAAGTGGCATAGAGAAGTGTAACATGAGAAAGATACTCCCATCTATCTTTCTAAAGTTCCTGATCTCATTGGCAATTATTATTCTTACTTACCCTCTGTGATATATGTCAGAAAGAAGTGGATTTATTTTTAAATACAACCCTGTTTTATTCTCACAAAAGATATGTTAAAGTGTCTTTCAGTCCTAGTAAGCAAATATGACCCAGTTTTCAATTCAATAATTTTTGAAACCCACAAAAGTATGTCAGGTCTGAAAGCATGGATGCCCCCTAGGTTTAGAGAAGTAGGAGACAACATTAGGAGGTGATTCAGTTAGCAGGAAACAGTTGTTACCTCCAAATGCTGTTGATTTTACCCTGCCCTAGAATAAAACTAGTTACTGCTTCTGTGAACCAGAGAGAATCATATAGCCCTTTGTTTTAAGAACTGATTTCTAGTATGAGAGTTTGGTTCACATGAACTCAGCTAAAAAATGAAATCTCCCAGCAGTTTCTTCTTTATGTTAAATAAACATTGGTCTCCATTAGTTGTGACTGAACTGCTGAACAATTCTGATTTTTTTGTGTGCCTCAAAGACATACATTTCACAATGGCTGTTTTTTATTTTTCCATTGCTTTCTGGATGATTAAACTAAATTGAATAGATTGTAAGTAGCATCAACTAAAGATGTTTCAAAGCAAAAAGTTAAATAATCTGTTCCAAGATTTTACTGAGAACTAAATTCCAGCAATTCCCTTTCATGCACTGCTGCCTATCTGCTTCTTTGTCCTCAGTTTCCCCATTCTGTCTTACCCCTCCCTCTTCATTAAATTATATGAGCTCTACGTTTTTCTCACTTCTCCTGCTTCTCTTTTCTCCTATCCCACCTGTTTTTTACTCTTCTGAAATCAACAAATAAACACACACACATACACACACACATTAACATACATAGAAATAAAGAGAGAGAAGAGAGATACATATTTGATCTTTCCTTACCGCGATGACGATGTTGGCTCAGTAGTTTGTCTTTGCACACGTGCATGTTTAATTAAATGTTCTTTTAAAGCAGTTTGGACTTCTGCTGGGATATCAGGGGAAGTGTGGCTGATTTTTATTGCAGGCTCAATAGCTTTTACTGCTGGCTTTCCATTTTCTTTTATCTCTTTTTTCTCTTCAGCCTCAAAAACTTCAGTGGGAGCACTTGAGATGCTCTGTGGAAGGGTACTGACATTGGGAGTCACAGGTTTGCTTTTCCAGCATGGCCAACACAATTTCCAGAAGACGAAAAGTGAGACAACCAGCAAGGCCAGTCCACAGAAGCTGACAACGACTGCTAACAGGCTGACTGAAATATCTGGAAAAAATTACAAGGTAAAGAAATATTAATCAATATTGTACATAAAGAGGCAGAAATGGTGAGATGATAGATGTTTGAAAAGTTTCATTCCAGTAAAATTTTCCAAAGGTCAGCAAGAAAAGCATGACGTATGCATGTCATTCCCAAGTAAACCACAGGGACTTAGGATTTTGCAAAGGTTGACAGCCTGCAAGCTGTAATGAAGCCATGAAGCTTAATTTTGGTCACAACAGAAATGCTTCTGTTTGCTTCATCTTTGATATAAAGATAATTCTCTCATTGTTCAAGCAATGAATAATCTTAAATATTTAGGCAGTCTGCTTTCTTTAGTATGAGAACTACACAGTATTAGTCATGAGTGGGTACATCATTACATTTTCAAACCTTCTAAGTCCATTACAATAACTCTATATTTTCCTAATTTTTAAGTCCTAAGTTAGTTAATGAATTGAGCTATGATGTGAATATTTATATCCCCTAACATTCATAGGCTTCAAGGTGATAGTATTAGGAGATAAGAGTCTTTGGGGAGGTGATAAGGTCACCAGGGCAGACTCTTTATGAATGGGATTAGGGCCCTTATAAAATAGGTCCAGAAAGAGCTGTTATGCCTGTCTATCCTATAAGAACACAACAAGAAGTTTCCACCAATGAATCAGGGAGGGGACCTTATTATAGTTTGTGTGTGTCCTCCAAAATTAATTCCTCAGTGCAGCAGTGCTGGGATAAAAGTCTTGTGGAAGGCCTGGGTGAGGTGGTAGAGCCCTTATGAACTACTCCATGATAATTCTGAGTTCTTACTCTTTGGGGTGTAGAATAGTTCTTTAATAGTAGATCATTATAAAACTAGGGGCCCCTAATATTTTGCCTCATCAGTATACATATGCTTGCTCTTGCATTTTCTATCATCAGTTGAAGCAGCAAGAGGCCTTCACCAGATGTGAACTTCCCAGTCTCTAGACTGTAAGAAAAAAGTTTCTGTTGTTTATAAGCTACCTAGTTTATGATATTTTGTTATAGCACTCTGAATGGACTAATGCAAGTGTCTTTAAAATATTGTTGTTAAAATAGTAATACACTTATTAACATATGCTTATTAATACATGATTAAAAGAGGTGGTTAAAAAGTTAACAAGAATGAATAAACAAATAAATTGGGGAGAAGCAACAAATCTCCTTTGCAGAAGAATTCCAAGCAATTTATGTGGCTATTTACCCTCAAGGAGGTGGCACATTTCTCCCACTTCTTAAGGGTGGGCTGCACACAGTGCATGCTGATTTTCTCCCAAGGAGTGCTGCATATAAAGGGGTAACTGTGTGATGGGAAGACCTAACTAAGCTTGCCCAGGTGATCGAGGTTATATCAACAGTGGTGAACCATGGCGATGATAAAATGTGATGAAAAATGGCATTTACTCTGTGGTCTTCATGCCCCAAACTCATAATCTGAGTCTAATCATGATAAAAATGTCAGACAAATTCCAAGAGAAGGGCTTTCTTCAAAATCCTTCTGTAAAATCTTAATTTTATTCCTTAAAGTTATCACAGATATCAAAAAAAAAAAAACAGAAAGGAAAGTTCAAGAAATTATATCAGCCAAGAAACACTTAAAGAGACAGGACCACTAAATGCAATGTGATTTCCTGGTTGGGATCCTGGAATGGAAAAGCCTTCAGATAAAAATGAAGGATATCTGAGTAAAGTACAGATTTTAGCTAATGTTTTAATATGAGTACAGGAGTTGAAATAAATGTACAATTTTAACATAAAAAGTAGATATTAGGAGATACTGAGTATGGAGTATGTAGGAGCTATGAGCTAGCTTAACAGCTTTTCTTTATATCTAAAACTGTTCTAAAAAATTAAAAAATAATGTTCCCTTACTTCATTTCATTCTCAGCCCTCCTAAGATGACCACTTAGTCATCACCATTTAGTAAACTGGTGCTGCAGTATTCTAAAAATTTTAAAAACCAAGTAGATTGCCTATGAAGGACAGTTTTTCTAGATTTGAATAGCCTTTTATTTTTATTTATATTTATTTAGCCTCAATATCAAATATAAATCCAATTACTTTCGTTTGTTTTAAATAAAAATGTTAGGAATATATTAATAGCTGAATTATGTCTTTCTCCCCACCCACCTCTAAATTTATATCCTGAAGTACTAATAGTCAGCAACTTAGAATATGACTATTTGGTGATAGGACCTTTGAATTAGTAATTACAATAAAATGATTTCATATGTGTTTATCCTAATCCAATGATGCTAGTGTCTTTTATAAGAAGTAGAGGTTAGGACACAGACACAACCAAAAGACACCAGAATGATGGTCATCCACAAACTAAGGAGAATGGTCTCAGAATAATTCAACTTTGCCCAAAACCTTAGACTTCTAGCCACCCAGACTGTGAAGAAATAATTTCTATTGTTTAAGCTGTCAGTTTGGGGTGTTTTGCTATGGCAGCTCTAGTGCACCAATAAAGAATAATTCTAATTTTCTTTAACTGCCACTCTAAATCCAGTGGGTCCCCTCCCTCCTTAGAATTAATCATTGATACCAATCGGGCGTGTCTGTCCAGCCTCAACACTAATAAAAATATTTCTTATGAAACCATAAATACATACAATTACATATCCTATAGCAGGGCAAGAAAGTTGTGAGAAAGCAAGAGACCAAGGAGGAGGCTGAACTCATTTGTATAACAACTCCCTCTTTGATAACTAATCCACTCCTGTGGTTTCATTAATATTTTACATAAATGGCTTACTTCAGTTTGCTTTATTTTTATTTAATATGTGAGGTCTAGCTTCACATTAGTACAAAACTTTCCATAATAATTCATCATCACGTATCTCTAGATTATGCCCAGTGTTTCATACTATAACACAGCTACAATGAGCATCCTGTACCTTTGTCCTTATGCATGCATTTGTGAATGTTTTTCTAAGACAAATATCTCAAAATAGAATCTCTGGGTCATAGGTTGTACACTAGATTTTTCCAAAATGAATCCCAAGGTTGCTATAACAAAAATATCATATGAGTTTATCAGTTTCTATAATTTCAGAGAAATATTTTTGCATTTGAATTTTCACTGATCTGATGGGAAAAATAGTACCTTGTTTTAATTTATATTTTCCTGATTGAAAAATAAAATTTGCAGCTAGTGGAAGTCTGTTCAGAAGTTGAAGCATTTCCAAGTTTCTGTTGCTACTTAATTGTAAGAATAAAAATTAATTTTGATATGCTGTGATAGACATAAGTATTCTTCATTTTCAAGCAGCCATTAAACATTTCCCACTTAATGCCATTGGTAAGGAGGGTATGACCATACTTCAGTATTTTAGAATTCGCTTTTTTACCATTTTTAATTCATTATCATGTAACTTGAGGGAAAGAGAAAAACGTATAAAATTAATGTGCTTCCTGACTCTCAATTTTAAAATGAATTACAATAAGAGCTTCTGTTATGCTTTGAGTATGCTCCCTAAAGTTCACGTTTTGGAAATTTCATCCCCAGTGCAACAGTGTTGGAAAGTGGAGCCAAATAAGAGGTAATTCAGTCATGAGGGCTCTTCTTCCATGAATGTATTAATGTTGCTATCACAATAGTCTGTTAATGATAGGAAGAGAGAGTTTGGTTATACAAGTCAGTTCAGCAACCCCCCAGTCTCTTGCTGTCCCACAAGTTTCTTGCTTTGCCATGAGATTATACAATGAAAGATCCTTGAAAGATATTTGCAGCTGGATGTTGGACTTCTTAGCTTTCAGATCTGTAAGAAGCACATTTCTGTTCTTTATAAATTGCCTAGTTTATGGTATTCTGTTATAGTGACTAAACTTCAAGTCTTCATGTATTTTTAGCTGCACTTACATTATATATTTCTGAATATATTAACTCAACTTCAAGTTATTGCCTATGAGGTTGGAGACACAGCCAAGATGTAAAGAACCGTAAGACAGTGTGGGATAGAGGGGGAGGTGGAAGTAGTTTTCAGTTGGTAACTGAGTAAAAAATGCCTTTCTTTTTACTCATGGGGTCAAGCTCAAGAGAAAAATCCTTTGACACCACTGTTCCTAAGAGATGGTTTTGGCATTCATAAATTTTCATTTTAGGAAGAGCCCAGTGGAAATCTTTGAGATGACTTCTATTTTCCCTACTGCTAAAACTTTTCTTTCTAAAATTGGTATCTGGTTCTATGATGTGGGAGACCATACACCATTTCTACCAAACCAGGACACATTTGAAAGTGAAAGATTGTGAAAAAAATAAAGCCACAGTAGCAGGAAATACCAGGTTCTGTCCTGGTATCTTTCTCAGCCTCACAGCCTTTCAGGTCTCCCATGAGTCATTTGGCCAAATCCAAACTTCACATGACATCCCAAGGTATCTTTGTGATTTGGCCCCTGGTTATTGATTCAGCTTTATTGTTCTGCTACTCTCTTACCTACAATCCTTACCTTGACCATGATTTTTATGATTTTTAAAAGAAAATTTTGGAGGCTATTTCATGTCATTTCAATACAGATTCTCCTCCTACTTGGCCACTTAAGAATTTACATTCATCTTTCAACAATTATACCCAATAGTACCACTTCCCTAAAGCCCTCACTGCCACTTTTATTCCTAGGAACTTTTAAAGTATACTCACCACTGCAACACTAATATTATAGTCATGGATTGGTCTATAATCCTTTTAACCCAACTCTTGGGACATAACATACTTCAAAACATTATTTTCTTTTGCATATCAGACATGTAAAATGTTATACATTTTCTGGGATATTATCTTGTAACCAAGCATGACACTGTATCTGTAATGGGATATGTAAACACATCACAATAAGTGGGATCACTGAAATTCATAATAATGTATAATTTTAATTAATTAATTAATCAATATCAATTCCAGTGAGTTATTAGTGCCAGATTACTACAATTTAAAAAATCATTGTCAGCTTTCAGAGATTTGAGGGCTTTGTAATTGTGAATA